TCATTTTCTTATTTCGAAATACCATTACTTATTTTGTGTGTTCTGTGTACTGTATTATGTGTATTGTATTTTATAATAGATCGTTACGCGAAATGTTACAAGTTATGATCATGATTATTGAGAGAAATCAATAATCATGATTTTTTTAATATAATCTTTAAATAATACTAGAAAATAATTGATTGATATAAAATCAAGTAATTGAGTGCAAATAGTAATCCAAAAACCAGATCTAATCACATTAGACACGCTTTGATTGTGAAAAGCTTCTCTTTCAGCTTAATTCAGGATAAAACGTCGTCGCGTGAAAGCTTTCCTTTCTATAGTAAAATTTTAGAAATGCATTTTTTTTGGCTAATCATAATGTGGAAGTCATTACACTTATGATCAAGTATTTTCAGTATCACTTGAAATTCTCATTAATGATTCTTCATTTATATCATTTTGGATTTTTTGGATCCTATCCAAAAATACATATATATTCATGACGAGGCACGAGACATATCGGAAATAATATTTCAATATGAGAAATCATATTTTATCGATAATATTATCAATATATCAAAATATACAATGCAAAAATGTATGAAATATATTTATGATATATTACGCAGTATTTTTTATAATATATATTATATATATATTAATATATTCTATATATTATGCTATACATATATTATATATATTTTTATAAAACTTATTTGTAAACAATCTGTGTGTAGAAATTATATTATTATAGTTTATATAAAAAAATTTAAATGAACTTTTGAAATTTCAAATGTATAATATATTATTTGATATATTATTATTTGACATTCAATTTAAACACTCTATGATGTAATTATTTTAATATAATTATTTTAATCTATTTAAATATTCTATTATTTGTTTTTCTATCGAAGAATTTAGTAAACAATACGAGCAAATTGATAATAATAGTGAATAGGAATAGGGAATATTGAATGAAAATGTTAATATTAGAGGCTTAATATTGTGACTACACGTAAACTTTATCGCAAATATTTACAAGATAGGATTCCATTCTTCTGTCGATTCTTATCAAAAGAATAAATTCAACTAAGATCGCGGTTTATAATGTAAGGAAACAATAACTGTTTAAAGTTCTTGAAAGTCACAAGAGCAACTATACAGACTATGTAATTAAAGCAAATATAATAATTTATTAAATTGATTAATATAAAACGGATGTGGTGAATTTCTTTATAGAATTATTTTATTAATATCATTATAATTTTTATTATAAAGGAAATGTTTGAAGAAATATTTTCATATAATTTAATATTTCCGTTAAATTTGACATAAAAAAAGTTAACCTAAATATTCAAATAAGCGTTATATTTGACATTGTAGTCAACATTGTATTGGTCAATGTAGTGAAATATTTTTATTAGTCTGTTATATATTCATATATTTAAATTTAATAGATTTATACAAATTTTATATTAAAAGATGAATATTCAATGCATATTTGAATATGTTTCCAATCAATCACATTACCATAACGAAAGTCAATAAATATATTCAATATCGATACATTCGCGTTTAATGAACGAGTTAGAAATATGAAAACGAGAAAAAAGCAATATATAACTACCAGAGAAAAATATTTCAAGGTCTTGCTGTATAGCAATATACTGTTACCTACTATTTTCTTATTTTATGTATGCATATAATTTGCCACTTCAATATCAATAATTTCGATCGATATGCTGATTGAAAAAATATTATGAATTTAACCAAATCATTTTACTAGATAATTATTGAATAAATGATATATTAAGTAAGTGAAAATAGAAATTAATTGTTTATTATATAAGATATATTGCCTATTGTTTCTTCATTTTGATCTCTTTATTCTTATATATATGTATATTTTATTATTTGAATATTTCGCTTATATTTCGCTTAATACAGACATTTTTTGATCTGTTACACATTTTTCAAGAGAAATTTCATTCTAGAAATTTTGTGATTGTTATATTTTTTTATTTATTTCATTTTTTATATATATTCATATGAAATATCAAAATAGACAAAAGATTTGCCTTTTTTTGTAATCATATTATCAATAATTATAAAATTTAAACTCATTCAAATATGATCATTTTTGGTAGATAATTCTCATTTAGATGTATATATATCAAGTAAATATAAATTTATTAAGGAAAGAATATTTCTTGCTTAAGCAAGTATTATCTATAATTTCTTGAATTGGGATTTTTACTATCTTCTTGAGATCATCATTAATATTGGTAATTTCGAATGTTATTTATTCTTTACATTTTTATAATATAATAAATGTTATATCTATATTTCTTCAAATTGATTATCGTGATCATCGATATCATGATAAATGAACTAATTAATTTCTTTCGTTATTATTGTAAGATGCAAAGAATACATGTATGTTGCAAATAACAACACGTTTATCTTGTTAGCTATATCTCACATCCAGCAAACATTATTGCACGTCTTTGCATGTGTTAACGCCGTTAGTAAATTATATACTGTGTTTTGAATCTCAATCGTCGAGTGCTTACAGCATCACGTCTCACACCTGTCTTCTTTTTTTTTCTCTGTATAGGAGACATTGTATACGATCTTATCCAACATTTACCATGAGATTGTTTCTTCTTTTAATTTTGTTCCTCGTCTAGATGCGCACACGAATCCGTTTACGAAGAAATTTCTTGAATAACTCTTAAAAATTTCTTCCATTTCTTATTCAAATATTCAAAACTTTTGCTCAACCATGAAAAAGAGAGACTGAGCGTTAAAATTTCTTTTTTAAATTGTAAATGCTTTTATTTTCATTTTTATTTCATTTGCATTGAATGTAAGATTAATTCCTTTTTTCTTCTAGAAAATTTTTAAAGAGTTTTTAGAAATATTTAGATAATTGAATTTTCGCCGAAAATTATTATTATTCAATTACATATTTTCCATTGAAAATTGTTTTGAAAATCACATATGCTCGTTGCATATTTTTGTGAATTATTTTTTAAAGAACAGATATGTAATAGAGCAATGTAATAGATATGAATTTTTTTTATGATATTATATTTTGTTTTTATAAATTTACAAACAAATTAAATATTCATAGAATTCGTAAAAAGATGATTTAGTACAAAATCAAAATACAAGACAAATTGAGAATATTTATATATGATATTATGAGGTTATGTTTGTGGTTATAGATTTTAAAAGATATTTAATTTGTTATTGGCATCGTTAAATAATCATAATAATTTTGAATTCGTTATTTAATTTCAGAATATTCAAATATATTTTAAAATTTAATTTGAATTAATAAGATAAGGATAAAGATATTGATACTTTTTTCTTTAACCTTCAACTATTACATTGAGGTTATGTTTATAGTTATATGTATAAATTTCATGTGAAAAGATTAAATATGTATATACTTAACATTTATCGTTAGATTATAGACAACTAGAATAGTTTTGATTTTTAAATTATTTGATTTTAGGATAAAGATCTAGGATATTAAAAAATATATATATGAAATAAGAAATATACATAACATTTAAAAGTTTAAAATTATTTTTCATTTGTATTTAATATTGCTAATTTTCTTCTATTAATTTACAATTACAATTAACAGTTATAATAATTAAAATTAATTTTATTTACATTATTGATTTTATAGTAAAATTGTTAAATTAATAAAATTTTAATTTGATTTTTTTTTTAAATTAGTAGGTTTTATAAAATATGTTAGTAATTACACTCAATCAATAATGCAATTCAGCAATTCGTTTACTAAAAATTAACAATAATGATAGCCGGTATGGTTTTTACAGAAATATCGAAAAACAATGAAAAAGAAGCGCATTAATTAGCCAATAATCGGAACGATGCATCATGGCTTCGTCTTTAGGGGGACCAGGAATGGCGTCGGGTGTTCCGACACCGCGAAGAGTCAACCTGGAGTTTCCACCACCTCCACCTTATCCACCGCCTCACAGTCAGGTATAATTTGCGGTATGCAATGTTATATATTGCAACATTTTTGAATCAATTCAATTTTTAATGAATTATAAAACATATCTACTGAATTGCTTGAAATATTCTCATGCACAAATATGCATAATTTTATTTCTTTATGTAATATATATAAGATATAATATTGTTATAATTATATTTATAATTTATTATATTATTATATAATATATATTATTATATAATATATTATTATATATATTTATAATTTATTA